TCTGGGACCAAACCATGAGAGAGATGCAATTTTGGAGGGAACCTAGGATACCTAAAGTGATGGTAAGACTCTATTTCTTATGCTAGTTCTGGGAATAGGGATGTTCATTTTAATTTTCTTTAAATTGAGTATAAATAAATGTATAGACTTTCTGTGCATGCAAAGTGATTCTCAATAAAAAATTTAAATATAATTTTTCTAACTGCTCTTTTAGAATGTAAAACACCTTTACAAATAGAATTATCCAAGAAAATAAATGATGGAAAAATCTTATTTTACACAAAAAGTCTATATTGTATTGTGAAGATTAAATCTATGTTCAAAATAAACAATCCGAGCAGTCTATTTATATGAGTTTGATGAACTTTCTATGTCTTTAAACTACTTACAGAATATTTGAGAATGGGAATGGTGGATTAGTTAAAATACATATATGATACAAGCCATGTCATACCATCATTTTGTCACAAGAGGGACCAGATAGTCAGAAAGTACAGCTTTGCTTTTTGATCTTAAGATTTCTCCACCTAACATTTAGATTTTACACACTACAATCCTGCAAGTGTGTGTTATAAAATGTAGTATCATTATACATATTTAATATCAGAAAAATGTTAGAATTACTGCTAGCCTGCCATTTTACTTCTGAATAAATATAGATTGTATAGAAATTATTTAACTTGCTGAGCTATTACGGTTTTTGTTTACGTGCTGTGTGAAAATAATTGTTTTCATTTTGTAGTAGTGGTACAAATTTAAAATGCCAAATGCATTTTTATTTGTATCTGTTTTATTTGTTTTTCATATTCCATTTCTAAATGCCTGTGAGAATTTGCAACCACTTCCAAATTTGATAAAATGAATCAACGTAATTATGGATCTCTTGCTAAAATAATATGCACCACCTACATCTATCACTTTTACCAGTAGTTTTTGTTCGGCGTCTGCTCTAAGGAATCTGGAGTCTCTCTAGAAGTTCTTTCAGGGGCCTCTACTTAGAGAGGGAGGCGTACTTTTACTGAGGTAATTCTTCACTCGACTTTAGATATTGCTCTCCTTCATAGAGCCTTCGTTGTAGAAATAGTGAGCTACAGACAGTTTGACAACCATTGGACTACCCTGGCAGGAAATGATAGTATCAGTTAAAATGTGTAAAACATTTTAAATGTGTCACCACCTTAGCTCTCTTCAACGTAAAATGTGAACTCTGAGAGGTAATGTATGTCTTATTCTGTGCTATATCCCTCGTGCACAGAAAAAAATACCTAGGCTTATCACAAAACAATCCAATAGTAATTAATAAATATGTCAACTAAATAAACAGTTCCAAAAGATTGGCACAACAAATATCATCCAAATTTTATTAAAAAGGGAAGAGTAGGGCAGCGCCTGTGGCTCAAAGAAGGCACCAGTCCCATATGCTGGAGGTGGCGGGTTCAAACCCAGCCGCTGCCAGTAAGTAAAAGAAGCAAGTAGAACCAACGTCCTCCAACTCCTGGTTCCCAAGACTTTTTTGATCAAACGTGGGGAAAAAAGGAAAGGAGGAAATGGGGAAGGAGGGCGTGTGGGATGGAGGCCAGAGAACTGGCTGCCCTCTGTATCCCAGCTGCCTCTCATTGGCCTGAGTGGGGAAAGATCAACTATAGTAAATCAAGACTGAAAAATGCTATTTTCATTTATTTTACCTTCATCTTTGAAAAATAAATTGGTGTTAGGGACGAATAAATTTTCTGTTTTAAAAGAACCACAAGGATTATTATTTTCATGACAACTTTTGTTCTTAAAGCGGCACTGAGAGAGACGAGGACCCGGACCAGCGACTTCTTTCCCCAGGTGCTATTTCCTTCCCCTTTTCACAAGTTCTTTAAATACCTGACATGGTCGGGTTTTTCACTTCCTCTCATTTAAGTTGTTAGCAGAATTCGGTGCCTTACGACTGTAGGACTGAGATCTCCATTTGCTTCTAGAACTCCTAGAGGTCACAGCATTCCTTGCTATGGGGCCCCGACCTCCACCTTCAAAGCCAGCAATGGTGGGAAAGGCCTCCGATTGCTGTTCTTCTCCAATCATCATGTACTTTACAGACACCAATGACTAGGATTTGGCCCACCCACATAATCCAGGATAATCTTTCCATTTCAAGGTCTTTAACCTTATTCCTGTCTGCAAAATTGCTTTTGCAATGTGAAGTGATGGATATACGAATCCTGGGTATTATGAAGTAGACATCTTTGGGAAGCCACACTATTCTGACGACCAGAAGGGAAATAGCCAGTTAACTTAAGAGTCTATGAATTTACTTGTGTAAAGTAAAAATAAATAATATTTGTATTTTATTATATCATAATAATATATAAATATAATTAAAAATGTAAAGGAGATAGTTTTTCTTTTTTTCAATAGCCGTTATTTGTAACTATATCAACCCATGACTGATATGCATAGTTTCTTATGACTCGTGGCCATAAATTCTATGCTCATTTCACAAATAATATGTTTCCCAATTGGTTATCAAGTTGAAACATATGTAGTCAATTCATTACCAGGAAAGCTAGAAATACAAATGATTGACAACACTTAAAAGGGTATGTTTTGAAAAAGAAAGGCAGAGATGTGGATGGGGTAAGGGTAAGCATTAAATTTTCCTTAGATTTTTTATTGGTCAAATTATTGTCCAGAAGACAGAGACTTGTAAGGATCACAGATACAGTCATTGCAGATAACAAATCCAAGAGCCAACCTAGAAAGGAAGATGGATGTGAATCACAGAAAAGAAAATTGAATAAGGTTAGAAATAAAACACGACCCTATTCCTTCAATGTCATTTAGAATAAGTACCATAATCAAGTTTCATGTCTATTTTTATTATGCCTTTATATACACCACTAAGCACAGCACCTGGCATATAGAAGGCACTGAGTAAATATTGTCTCCAAGTTATTTTAATTGGAATTCAATGTTTATAGATTTTTATGGGTGAATTACAATAATGAAAATCTCTCATATCATGGTTCTTCATAGTTCTCAGAGCCTTTTAGTACATTATTTACTTAATAGTAATATCAAGAATACTAATAAGACCTGGTAGTTAAGGTAAAAATATGGCATCTGTGAAAATGAAAGATTTTTCCTCTAGTATTTGCATGAAATCGTTATCCATCTGAGAGTAGTCAGTTACAGGTTTTTGAAGGCAAAGACTATTTCTGACGCATCTCTCCCAAAACAGACACAAGAGGAACCTTATGCATAGTAAGTACATCATAAATTTTAATAAGGAAACAATTGTTCTGTGAAGGAGTACGTTTTTAAAAAGGAAAAACAATTGAATGACAATAGGAAAAACCTGTTGATTTTCATTCATCTGTGGTGTTTAAATTAGTGCAGATTAGCAATATAGGGCAAGTAACTAGAAAAGAACTAAAGAAACTATTGAAAATGCTCTGAAATAGATCAATTTTTAACTCGTTAAGCTTGTAAAAATTAAGTTGTCTTACAAGGCACTAAGATTCTCAGGAAATGGACTATATGTATCACTACTAGTCAAAAAATGGAAAAGGTAACCGTTGCATTTGGAGGGATAATAACCTTTACGATTCTTTCTCACTCTAAAAGTGTTAAGACTGCTGGTAACATTTGGTTTCTTGACCTGGGAGTTTGTATCTATAGTCTGTGTATGTCTAGTATTGTTATATACTCTCTCTTTTCTGTCTTCTGCACATGTAAGTCAGCAAAAAGCCTAGTGCATCTGTAAGCCAATTACCTAGAGATTTGGATCAGTAACTTACGTGGGACTCTTAGTTTCTCCTGCCTCCTGCCTTTCTTCATTAGGTCTCACACGTCTCTTTACTCCACTGGCAGTGAAAGTTACATACTCAAAGTTCTGGACTCTCCTGTTAGGACTTTGGTCTGACAGAACAAAGTGATGATGACAACAAATCAAATAAAAATATTTCTAGAATGATTTATTTTATTTTATTTTTTTTTTTTTGAGACAGAGTCTCACTTATTAACCCTTGGTAGAGTGCTGTGGCATCACAGCTCGCAGCAACCTCAACTCCTTGGGCTTAGGCAATTCTCTTGCCTCAGCCTCCCGAATAGCAGAGACTATAGGCACTGGCCAGTTCAGCGCCCGGCTATTTTTTGTTGTTGTTGTTGCAGTTTGGCGAGGACTGGGTTTGAACCGCCACCCTTGGTTTATGGGGCCAGTGCCCTACTCACTAAGCCACAGGCGCTGCCCATGATTCTTATTTTTAAAGTGGTAATTCAACGAAAATATAAACTGGAAGGTACATTAGGCCTCTGGTAGTTCTGTGTGGAATTTTAGTACTTCATTTTAACAAGGAAGCTGTGTGATTGTTTTCTGACAACAGTCAACATAGAGAATGTCTAAGCAAACTCAGGCCTCGGGTGAAGTCTAAGAGAGGATATGAGTGCACACTTCCTCAGTACTCAGATTTAGCGTCAGCGCTCTTTCCTGCCCAAAGTCCTCAGAAGAACCCCTTTTTGAGGCAGATGTTGGGGGAAAAATCCCGAGTTAGTGTAATATTCCTCAGTTAACAAAAAAATAAAATCTGAAGCGGGAAGGGGTTTACCTTTACTTAAAGCACACAGTTGGCAAGTTCATGTGCTGATAAGACCTGGGTTTTCATGTAGTGTACTAGAAAATAAGTAAGTTAACGTCTCTCTGGGCGGCACCTGTGGCTCAAGGAGTAGGGTGCTGGCCCCAGAGGTGGTGAGTTCAAACCCAGCCCTGGCCAAAAAAAAAAAAAAAAAAAAAAACTCTCAAGCCTCATGTGTCAAATGGAGGTAATAATACCTAACCTATTTTTACAGATGTTGAAAAGATGAGATGGTATCTGGCACATAGCAGACGCTGCGTAACTATCCTGTTTGTTCCAACTTTTGAAGAAAGCCCCCAGATCTTCATGAAATAAAGGAACAAAAATACTGATTGGTAACTTGGACTTTAGCTGACAAATGTCCTCCTTGATTTGTTTCAGGAAAGTAGTAGACCATCCAAAAAAGCGATTTGGTATCCCCATGGATCGGATCGGTAGGAATCGACTTGCAAATTCAAGAGGCTAATTAATTCCAATTGTGAGTACCATTTAAACAAGTAAAGATACGTGCAGTCATTTGATTCACATCTCACAATGACCTAATCAACTCAAATTCCCCTTCTGCTTTCTTGTCTTATGAATCCACTTTCTCAAGCTTCTCTAAATTCAATTAAGATGGTATAGTAATGTTAAATAATTTAAATGACATTGAAAAAGCGGAAGTGTCCTACATCTGCTTCATTCTCCACCAAATTAATGACTTAGCTCTTTTTACAGACACCTATTTAATTATTAAATAATGAAAACAAGGGTTAAGATTCTAATTAACACATTAAATCACCTTTATAAACATACATCAATGTGTAGCAGTCCTTGTGTTATGAAGAAGATACGTTCCTGTGATACGTATCATTTTGTTGCCAACAAAGACATTACTGTGGTAACACAGAAAAAAAGTGAATAATGTCACAGGAAGCGTGTTAGCCATGAAATCAAACCACCTCATTCAAATCCTAGCTCTGCCACTCATTCATTTTCTTATTTTTGTCAAGTTATCTTATTTTTCCAAGTTATGCATATAGAGATAAAGTATTACGAAGGTTGAGTGAGATGTTTGTAGGACTCTTGGAATATACTGGACACACAGTGAGTGCAAGGAGTTTACAGTTTATGCTACTAAAATTTTGAACGCTCTGAAAATTTACTCTGTGCTGGGCCCTATACTTAGTGCCTTACATGCATTGCTTCATTTAATCATTTTGTTCCATAAAGTAGTGCCGTTGCTACCGCCAATGTCTAGAGAAGCGTCGTAGCACAAAGGGAAAAGGGGCCAGCTCAGGAGATTGATTTTCTTCAGTTCAAATACCAGACCATCTGTTGTTAGCTAGGTAAACTTGTTTAAACTCTAAAACCCTCCTCCATATAATTAGAACTATCACATTGCATTGTCTCAAGGATTACATGGATAGATACATATTAAGCACTTAATATAGTATGTGATATATTGAACAATCATTAGTTATTATTATTGTATAAACGGAAGGCTTAGAAATGTTAACTTACAGTGCCACAGAGCGTGTAAATGATGCACAGAGATGTAAAATCCAGAGAGCTCAACATTTATGTGCTGAACACTATATTTAGTCGTACAGACTGTATCTTTTTTATGTGGAGGAGAAAGGCCCGATCCAGGAGGTGTTCCAAGGCCCATCCCATGATGGATGCCTGATTGTATTCTAAGGTAAAAAAAGCACTTCCATGTTCTGAATTGTGCTTTCTAACCGTCAGCTGAGATGTCACCTTTGCATATTTACTACTGAAAAAAGACTCTTTTGGGGGGTGAAGTGGGGGGTGGGATTCATTGACGGTATAAAGAATGAGGTTACACTGATTGCATTTGTTAAATAAAGTCCCTCTTATAATTGTGTCCTGCCCCTAAGAGGTGTGCCACACACCAAGACCCTATCCACTTCTCTTCTTCCGTCTCTCCTCTTTGTATCTTTTAAACCCTAAATAAATGCTTCTTGCATGTGAAATCTATATTTTCTCCTAGTAGGGCTTAGAGAAGGTGCATCCTTCCTCCCAAACAAATAAGACAACCTGGAATTTCTTTAACAATTTCAGGCTAGAAAAGAGGGAATTTTCCTTTCTGCTTCTCTCAAAATGGTCCTCAGACGGATGATTCAGAGACCCTCAGAGCATCCCAGTAGCCCTGATCTTCTCTTAATTTACATCAGTTCATTTTCTCCTCCTCCCCAAATGCTCTAAGATCACAAGAAGGAGTCAACATTTTATTTACCGCTACTCTCTCATTCTCAGAATGACTTAATTAAAATAAATTCTGCTCTCATGAAGTTGTTGTTAACAAAGTTCTCAAGTTACTAAATGCCTACAAATACAAAGGATGTATGAACTTGGCAGGAACGCTGCATTTTGAAGCACCATCCTCAAAACCCAGATGGAACTTAATTTCTTCATATCTAGAGATATACCAAGTATGCTCACTCTTCAGTGTTGTTAAAATTGGCCGCATCGTATTTGAGTAGGAACTAGCTACTATTATTAAAAACCAAGTAACTCTTTGAATCAAGGTCACGTTCCTTTGGTTTCTTGATATATTGAGAACATTATGACACTGAGATTAAAATAGTTACTGAGTTACACATGCATCTTTGCCACCCTGGATTAGCACCCATTTTAACATTTCTGAATTCGCCTAAAACAAGGCTATGATAAACAAATCACACAGGAAACTTGTTTTCATCTGAGCGTTCAGCCAGCTACTAGACTATGAAGAAAGTTAAATTAATACCCTGTTTCCTGAATCACGGTTGAGCTACATACAAATTTATACATTTTGTTTTTCTTTTAGAAAACTCTGTTGAGCATCTTGACAATTATTGTCCTTAGTATTAAAATCTGAATATATTGGTATTACAAACAAGTAGGTTTAGTAAAGAATTTATCATAAATTTTCCTTTCCTTTTTGTCAATTATTGTGGTCTCACCTGCTCAACCATTGTTTCTATTTATTATTTCCCACCACTATCACCAAGATTGGCCAGATGTTTTATACTTCCTCCTGTGGTTTCACGTTTTATAGTTGATGGATTATAAAGCCATGAAAAAATAATTTATTTCTAATTTCCAATCAAATTTTTGAAGCTATTTTTTATACTTTTTTTCTACAGTCACAATATTTCTTTTAATTAAGGGGTGTAGTGTGTGCATCATTTAATAAATAACAAAAATCAATAATAACATTCACATAGTCACGGAGCTAAGTGATTTAGGAACATAAGGTTTTATTTCATCCAAAACCATGTTTTAAACAATTCAGGAGCTGGGGCTGTGACAGAAAACTGATTTGACCAAAATTTTATAGACTTTGGGGCAGAGGAAGATCTAGAACCCAAGTCTTTGCACTTCTCAGCCGGTAGTCTCTTCATGACCCCAAATGTCATCATGGTACTAAATTGTCCTTGTTGGCTGCTAACTTTACTAGTTTTACATTCCAAAAACAAACAGAAACGGCATTTTAGACTTTATTAAAATCTCTCACTTCTGTGGGAGTTGATGTCTTCTCTTTTAGAGCAGGTCTACTTGTGAGTTTTCACCTTCCGGGTTTTATTTTAAGTCTTCACACTAAAAGTGATACTAGTATCTAATCCTGGAACTTTTACTTGGTTTGAGGTCAAGTCCAGATATAGCTGCCGTGGGCTACCTCGTTTCCACACCGAATGTTAATCTCATCCCTAAAGTGCGTTTTAGAAAGGAAGATAATCTGGTATTTGTTCAAGGGCCTCCTCAAATAATGAGTACGTTGTACCCAAACTTTGAATTTTTAATAGCCCTTAATTGTACGAGACCCAGCTTTAAAGAAGTATTTTGTCTTGTCTAAGTCTCACAACTTCTCAAGATGGCAATTTCTAGGTCTTTGCCATTGAAATAAGGATGTCTACCTGCCAGAATTAGAATCTGACCATTAATTGTACTGCCGTGTGCTGCCACAACCATTAAGACATTTCTTTCAATAAAGAAAGGCACATGTTGCTGTTTTTCACTGAGGATTTTTATTTGAGAGCAACATTGACAGGCTATCATTCCAATAAATTAATGGAACTCTCAAATGCAACAGGAATATCATGTTTAAATTCCAGTATACGATTGCCTCCTTTTAACATATGTAAAATACATACAATTATCAATATGCTATCATAACAATAAACAGAAACTAGTAGTCAATTGTTTTATTCTTTTGTTTGTCACGGCAGCATCTTTGGAATGAAAATCAAAAGCCAAAGCAAAATAGGATATAATAGGGACCTGAAGAGAAGAGTTGTAACAAAGCATTGTATAATGTGTGTTAAAACTTGAGCATAAACGCCTAGCTTATATTTTCAAAGTACTGTTTTTAATGCATTTTGACCTGAAATTATCATTCTGCATTATTGCCATATAATCAAAAGCTTTTGTGAACTTCATGCAATTAGAGGTTTAGTTCTTCTTAAGGGAAGTTGAGGGAATTCCACCTGATTTACAAAGTTCTCATTAGCTTTAACAACTTCGACTCTCGTTCTTACAGACACGACGTCCTGGAGTGAAATGTCACAGAAATATGAAAGATGCTTCAATGAAGTTCTTCACACTGTTCATCAAATTTTTTAAAAACTGACCTTCTGCAAATCCTTTCCAAAGCTTGGACTTCAGTTCATCACATCACAGTATTGCTATAGTTTCCATTAAATTGTGCAGATAATTTTGATTTCGGTATATCTTTAAAAATATATGTGTATTTTAATTTTTCTGGTATGGTTTCTTCCCCCCCCCCAAATTTTACTCTTAAAAATAGCTATTTAAAAGCACAATACGGTGAAATATTTTCCATATGCATTTACCATACACATTTTTGCAGTTAAAGAATAATAATGAAAGTCAGATTTGCTTCTGTAAATTTAGATAACAATTTATTTGTTCCTGGTGGGGGAATAAGAAAAGGCAATGAGGGATATTTTCTTTTGAGTACTTTCATTTCTCTCTTCCCTTTTGTCAGTGAGCCTGTTGGGTAATAATCATGAAATTGGGTTTTGCTGATCATATTCGAGTTTCAGTCATGTTCAACCAAACAAAACACAGTCCGGGTGAGCACGCGACTTAGAATGTAAACAGTGGAGGATGGTCTTCATTTCTCCTCTATTTCTTGTCCCCTAACAACTTTCCATCTACCTAAATTTTACCTGATAGCTTATTAAGAACAACAGTGGCTCGTTATGAGGGGAGTAGCTGCCCATAGAAGTAAAAAAGGGGGGGGGGAGTTAAGGGATCATCAGGTTGTAAACAACCAGAGCAGGTGGGGGGGTCACTTAAGTGCACACCATTTTAGTACCGTACATTTCAGCATAGTACAATAGATGATCATGTATCATGTCACTGACTCATCTAAGAAGCTTTTTAAGCCATTTCATGTGCTGTGTGCTTAATAAGCCATTGTCAAGCATAAAGTATTTGAATATTATGTCTTTAAAATGATACAGATTACTTTTAATTGACCTATCGAGGCCTAAGTTTTCTGGAAAGCTAAATTCTTAGCAAAGTACCATTTAGGAGCACAAGCCCTCTCTGCATTGGATATGCTTTCAAAACATACAGATAACTCTATTCCCTGACCCAGAGATTCAGCATAAGTTACTCAGAAGAATTTATAAAAGTATCTGAAAAACACTTCTGAAAGTCTTCCTGATCACTACCAGACAGGCCTGATCCATGGGATGAAAAAATGTGTAGCAGAGCAAAGCCTTATTTTATCCGAAAAGAAAGAATGCTATATAAAGGTGTCTTTATAATAAAAGAAGAGAGAAATGAGTAGTTGCAGATTTTAACTAAAAATTAATGTACTTGTATGATCCAAAGAATAAAATGAACTAAAAGAAACATTGTGATGACAGAAACGCATCCAAAAAGAGCAGAATTAAACGACTGTCCTCCGTAAAAGGCTAGTTGTTCCGTTCTTCAATGTGCTTTTTAGAGACCCAGTTCAGAGGAGATGAAAGGAGGTGTCAGAAGTGAACATTAGCATACATACTGGTTGTGTGTACAACATCTTCATTTTTCTGAATTTTTTTCAAATTGCAAATATTCAAATTCAAGTTTCAGGAAAAACAGTAAATAATGTTTCTTTAAATTGTGGTAGAGGGCTAGCCGAAAGGAAAATGAATTTTGAGAAAGCTAATTAATTCTGATTTTCATAAATCGCATTAGAAAGAGAATAGTGTCCCATGGGGAAACAGCCTGCAGAGCTCCTAATTTGAAAGATTTCTTTAAGAAGTTGTGATGTCTCCCGTTCACATCTCCCCGAGCTTCTGATGAACTCCAGCAATGTGTCCTGTCTCTTAGATGTTCTCTCTCTCCTGTTTTCCCCATTTGGATACTCGTAAGCTTCTAATGCAACTAGATGCTGCTCTGTGCTCTGACAAAGGTATTAAAACTTCCTTTTCCAGGAAAAGTTCTCACGATAAAGATTTGAAGATGATTAAACAAACTGATTTCCTACATTCTTTATTTCTTCACTTCAACTAGGCTATGTCATCCCACTTCAGTAAAGGAAGAAGTGACGACATATTGATTTATGTTCTATTTTAATGTATAAGGGGTTTGTCTCATAATAGAAAATTTATGCAAGACTTCCATGAAGAAAAAAAGAAAAAAGTGTCTCTTTCACTTATAATGCTGTTTTATATCGTATTTTAATTTTTACTACTACTTTATACAGAGCAGGAAATAAGTTAGCAGTATACTAGTTTAAATAAGGTATTCTTTTACCACAGAAATAAATTAAGATAATTTCTGTTAAGAATATGACGAGTCATCTCATTCATTTGTCCAATAGCATTGGATATTAACTAAATCTGACTATATTTCAACTTCAAAATAATGCATTACCTTTTCCTGCCCTTTGTCCTCTGTGGAGCTTCATGGAACAAATGAATATGTGAATATGGATTTCTGAATTCTGGTTTCAGATATATAATCAACTTGAACAAGATGTAATTCCTGTCCACTTTGTCTTAAAATTTACTCATACTATGAAATGTCTGTCAAATTGTACCTTTCATGTACATATGGGTGACTAAATTCTTTAAAGGAAATTATTAAAAACTCAATTGATGGAATTTTTTTAAAAAGAATAAATATTGAGAGTTTTTGAATGTTGCCCCTGATATCAAAAGATTCAAGATACTCGAATATTGTTCCACTTTTCAAAGTTAATAAACTTGAGATGATGAAAGCAGGAATTTCCATCTTTCTTTACGACAGTGTTGTATTTGTGTTTACAACTGTTGTGAGTACACAGGAACCTTTGTAGACATTATTCTGCAACGAATATTTACATGTGTACATTTCAGTGACTCCTCAGAAAGCTCAGCACTACATGCATATCGCTCAACTTGGTCTGTTTTATATACTTGTTTATTTTTTATCTTTAGCTTAAACCGTATGTATGGTTTATTTTATCTTGCAAGCTAGTTTTTTCTTTGTGCACCACAAACTTGTATAAAAATAAAATTGCATCCTCCCTCATATTGTAAAGTAATTTGTAGACTCACCTGGTGAGCTATTACATGCTAATGTAGCCATTAATACTCTTCATTTATAAAGTTACTCGGACAATATATCTGTTCTAGAACAGGGAGCAAATGAAATTGACCTTGAACGCCCAGCCATAGATTGATTAAATAAACTTTTTCACATATAAACTAGAGCAGTTTGATGTGTAGGTACAAAACAGCAACTAATCAAGAAAAAGCCAGTGAGGTTTATGTTGGTTGGTTTGTTGTTAGCACAGTACGTCTAGCGTTTTACAGTCGTGCTGAGAGTTGCAAATAGTTTCCCATGTAGTGAAGAAGGCAAATCATTCTGGGAGAAAGTTTTCTGAACATTTTCTTTCTCAGACAGCTTGTGTAACTTTCTCCCAGAGTCCAATAAATGATATATTTCTGCTTCTAAGAAGTATATTCATTTGTTGTGATCGTCTCAATGACAACTGTCTGTAGTAACAGAAAGAGAGGGTGGCCATCACAATCATAAAAAAGGGAGGAAGAACAATAATGCATATTTACCACATAAATTAGGACAATGTAATTTAACTTTTGAAAGTATTTTATTTTATTTTGTTTTGTTTTCAAATTAATATATGGGTACAGACGAGTAAGTTACGCTGTTTGTGTTTGTGAGGCAGAAGTCCAGGTTGTAGAGTTGAGTTCTTCCCCCGGAGCTGTGCCATATACCCCTACCTTGTACCCATTGGTCCAGAGCTTATCAAACCCCCCTTCCCTCCTCTTTTTCCCCTCCAGTTGAATTTAATTGTCTTTTTTTTTCCTCGTGCAAGCGTTTAGTAGTTCATGTATTAGTGAAAAGTATTTTAAGTAATAGCTCAACAGCATAGTCATGACAGGACAAAACCATCTGTAGACAGAGAACTCATGGACAGCACCCTCCACTTTAACTCTGCAAAGCTATTTTCATAGTACCATGCCATTCCAAAGTGCAACTGGTTTATCATTATTCACAACATAAACTTACAGCATATTATATAACCCCCTTCATAATGAGTTAGCAAGGTGAGAAAATAATACGCAGAATAAAGACCACAGTCTCTGAAGGCTTGAAACAGCAACAGACTTTGAGCAGTAGAGTGAGTGTGCAGGTATCGTTTTTCCGATGTCTTTTTCTTTTTTGCATCCAAGGAAGAATCTTTAAACACAGTATTTCCAAAAGCAAGCTGAAGAAGAAAACCAAACAAATGCTTTATTAGAAGAATAGTTAATATGCCTGAACAAGAGAGAGAAAAAGAGAGTTTTATAAAAGGAATGTTCAATAGGGTAGCTATTAGCCCTAAAAGGATCTTTACATTGGTTC